AAAGTCTGCGGTTTTCCTTGCTGTTGTGTTCTCTCCAGTCTCCTGTCTCTAGTTCGTGAGCGGCCGAGGGAGGAGGGACGAGTAGTCATAGGGTGTTTTGGGAATGAAGGTTGGTTGTGGGCGTGGCACGGGCAACATTTGCGGTTTCATTAAAATGCCAGCAAAGGTCTGCAAAAAGCAGCCGCAGCCGCGTCAGCATACAAAATATTTTGCCACACACGTGAATTTCTGCACAAATTTAAGGCGCTCGGCATGCAAATAATTGCAAAGCTGTAAATTTTTAATGCCAGACGCGTGTAAAATGGCAAAAAATCACGTACCCAGATCCAGGTGCAGCCAGACAGACCGACTCATAGAGCTGCAATTGGGCAGCAAGCGGAGCAAAATGCTAATGGAGTTAATTGTGGGCATTACCAGGCATCCAATGAATCCCATGAATTTCCTGCGACATGTCCAAGAGAGCCTCAAATTAATTTTCAAACAATTGACAAAGAACTCGAACAAAGGCGAATCGCAGTTAGAGCCAGCCGCATTCCAGGCGAAAGACAACAGGCGCAATTGAAATTCAAGTTGTGCGTTTAATGAATGAGTTAACAAAATAGTTCAGCAGACAGCGTTATATTGGAAAATGTGTGTGCATTGTAAGAGCCAAGACCAACGAAGAGGTTTATTGAATTTTATTTAGTTCCATTGCAATGCATTGGCTAAATAAATTGCTTTTATTCAAATGTATTTAAATTAAATTTTACTCTGTAAGCAATACAGTTTGCAGTTTGCTCTATTACATTATTGGACAACGGCAACGGACATGGTAGCGTGGCCGAGCGGTCTAAGGCGCTGGTTTAAGGCACCAGTCTCCTCGGAGGCGTGGGTTCGAATCCCACCGCTGCCAAGTAACGGGTGTTTTTTTCAATTTTTTAATAAATTTTTCTCATATTTGAAATCAGTAAACGATCGTGTCTTTATACCCCACACTAATACCGTTGTTGACGCACACATTGAGCAACGGAGACCACTAAATATAGAGTGATGAATTGCGCAACAACCGCTGTGTTCGTTTTTTGTCTATGTAAGCGCTTATAATTCTCAACGGGTTCCTGAGAGCGCAGCATGTAGAGCACTTCTGTGGGCAGTGAGAAGTTAAGACTATACTTCACAGGATCATTTCTGTAGTTAGTTTTCACTTACTTTCACACAAAGTGGAAGCACACCTTGACCACGTTGATGAGAGAAATCGTTTTATTCAGCAGCGTGAGGATTTGCGCTATGCCCTTTACGTTGTGACTTGTTGCACGTATGATGGGTGTAGCGCTTCGATGATCGCTCGGTTTAACGGAATAAAACGAATTCTGAGTGGTTCTCAAACTTTTTAACGAATAAATTTAATAGTGGAATGAGAGTTGAGTACAGTAGCTAACGCAGTACTATTGTAGATGTGTTGTTATTTTGTACTAAGTTAGTGCGTTGAAACTTTTCTTCTATTGAAAAATGCGCTTACTTACCATTACGAAAAGTTGTTTACGTGAGGCGGTGCTGGCCTGGTGCGGCGTCACAACAATTCCGCATTTTCGATGTACATATGTATGTATGCATGTATGTGTTTTATTGGAAATATTTCACATGTTCCGCGAGTAGTATGGGGGATATAACTATTACCTACACCGTCCCCGTCTCTCATACCATTGCTATTGTGGAAGCAGTGAGGAATTTGTATGTCGTTGTAGCGCTTTCTCAGTTTGTTCGTCGGCGGAGTGAGGAAGTCTCTTGGCACATAAGTTTTGTGCACGTTAAGTACTTTTTCATAAGCGTTGCTTGTTGTTGTCTGGGCACAAGAGCTTCTGCCCATGTTTCTCTGCCTCCGGGGCATAATATGCACATGCAACAAGGGCAACAAATAATAGAGAATGGCAATAAAAGTACGATACATATTCGAGGGCCAAAAATATAAAAAACGTGAAGAAACTTTAAATAGTTTCTGGCTACTTTTTTCAGAGTTTGCAAATGGCGTACGCGATAGTGGGAGAAAATTGAGAGATGAAAAAGGGCAATGTTAAATTACTTTCTGTGAACTTTTTAAGGATTTCTTTTTCTGCACAGTCTGCGCACTAAATTAAGAGATTACAATAAGGTATTGTTGATAAAGGAAACTTGAAGCTAATATTGTAATACTTATGGAAAAAATGCTGCGTTTTTCACGAAGGAAAAAAAAAACTTCACATAAAAAATTATTGTACATGTAATTGATAAAATTGAATGTTATTTTTACATGTTAGAATAGTAAAGTTTTAACAAAGAAAGTTAAGCTTTCAGAAAACACGCTCACAAAACATACAACAGTTTCTGCTGAATACGTAAATTTCCCTTAGGTCTAAAAGTATGCAGTAATATACTTGCGATAATAATCCAAAGGAAGCAGATAAAAAGTATGCAATGATACATCAATGAGTTGAAGTACATATTTATTGCAGGTTAATTGCAATGATGACTTTCTAAAATTTTGCTTACGGATAGAGCAGAATAATGGGTCAGTACGAAATAGGAAATTCTGGCGGCTTGTTTGCTTTTAAAATGGGGATGAGTTATCTATTCTATGTACAAAGTTAACTATTCGACAGCCACACATACATACATATCTAAGCGTAGATGTATACATACATATATGTATATGTTTATTTGATTTCGAGTAAAATTGTATGGGGCAGCTTCTGACGCTGGCCGAAAAAAATGAAATAGAAGAAGGAAACTTCTTTTCTTTAGCAGTTTTTTCTTTTGAACTTTGGCCTGAAGCTTGCCTGAAGCCACTTAGCTTGCATCGCACGTAGCGTCATTTTTGACATTTAATTATGGTTGCCTGCTACAGAGTACAGTTAGACTAGGACTACGACTACGAGTACTCGTTCACTCACATTTGTATTCGCATTCGCATTCGTATTCGTATTGTTGTCAGCCCCGTTGTGTGGGGCTAGTAAGCTGTAAACTCGATTTCATGGCTCGTCTAAGAGGTGCTGCCACTGCGTCAGGTAACTTGACGCATTTCCAATGCGTGCTACGTGTGCATCTTCCACTACCTGTCCTGTCCTGCCCTGCCCTGCCCTGCCGTCTCCTTCTCCGCCCTCGCCTTTGGCTGGGACGTGCGTTGTCAAAACTGGCGCTTCATTTTTCGGCCATAAAAAAAGTAAGAAAGGTGCTCGGCTGCGATGCCATGGCTCTTCTTTGTGGACACTCGGCAGCTGGACAAAGCTGTCCATCCCGGCGATTTATGGAAAAAATCGCAAGCACGTGACGTGAAACTGCAAAGGATTTGGGGCCCGAATTGCACTGGACAGACACAAGCAGACTCTCTGCGTCTCTCCCTCTCTCTCTCTTCCTCTCTGTGCGGCTACTGGACAATTGCGTCTAAATTAATTATCAAGGATAACAGCGCATAAGGTTCACATTGTGTCCAGCGTCTGCGGCGGCTGCCACTGCTGCTCCGTCTAATTCAATTATGTGAGCCGGCGGGTAGCTGAGAAATTAAAAACGGCTTAGGCCAAGTTAATGCCGACTTAAGGGCGTTAATTAAAAGCCAGTTGATATGTTCATATAGCCAACGTACCCTTTGCCACGACATCAGCTGCAATTGCAGCCAGGCAAATCCCCTTCTGCTTGCCCTCCTCTTGCTTTTACTACTCCCCCTCCTCCTCCCTCCTTGCGGCGCATAGAAGGTTTCCACCCCTCGACCGGGGCGACCAATAAAATCACCCGCTAAAATCACGAACTGCAAATCTCTTGAGAATAATTTGAAGCATAGAAAGAGCCAAAGATGCCGCCGCGAAATCCGCCACATTAAAATATGATGAGGTTGGAAGAACGGAAACGAACAAATGAAAGAAAAAGAACAACCAAAAAAAAAAACAAAGTTCATAAAAATGTTGTAAAGAAACGCGATACGAATGCCAAGGTGTGTGTTCAGGTGTTGTGGGGGTGGTAAAACCAGTACATAGAGAAAGAGAGAGACAGAGCGGAAAAGAGATGGGGAATAGCGGCGCAAGAGTCCAAAAAATAATCAACATAAAAAGAAAATTATTTGCAATATTATCAGGGACTGCTGCACAGTGGAGCCAACACGAAAATGCAGACAACAACTATATGGCCAATAGATTCAGTTTGTAATACAATTTTATTATAATAGATCAAATGGATTCTAGTTCCATAAAAATAAATACAAATAAAATAATTGGATTGAAATGTTTGCACCACTGTGCCACAATCTGGGACACAAGAAAGACAGTTTTTAACCATATTACATAGATTTTAGTTATTCACAAATTATTGGAGTATCTTGCACCACTGTGCTTCAACCTGCGACTGCAAAGAGTGTGGCAATCTCTGCTTTCTCGCTTTGGCTGGACAGTAATTGAAGTTCGGTTCGCTCTCAAACAAAATGCAAATTAAATTTGGTCTTAATCAAGCACACGCTACAAAACACTACAAAAAATAATCAAAGCAAAACAACAACAAAAAACATAATAACAAAATGTGAAAAAAAAAGGTTTTCTGGCGGGGGTCGCTTCAGGGTCGCTCGAGTCGGCCGCTTGGCGCGTGGCCCCGTCCCAGAGAGGCAGAGGCAGAGGCAGAGGCAGAGGCAGAGGCAGAAGCAAATCAATTAAAGGGCCACATTTCGAAGCATAGACAAAACGCATTTTGTTGACCTCTAACTCGACCAAATCAATTGGCTGTTGTCCACTCTGATGTCCAGCCGATGCATAGCCAAAGACACAGATAAAGATAAATGTAAAGATGAAGAGACAGACATAGACGAAGCGTGATCAATGCCCCATCAATGCATCCATAGGTCGACCGCCTGAAACCGGTCGTAATTTGGTGTAGCCAGTGATTGGACTGACGTATCCAAAGAGACATCAAGAGCGAGGCGAGCGTGAGGGCGAGGGCGAGGGCGAGCGAGAGTTGCTCGCTGATCAAGTTCAAAGTCATTTGGCAGCTTCCGTCGCCGCTGGCGCGGACTGATTCGGCGATCTAATCATTAACTATATAAAGAGTTGCAGCGCTCAACGGCCACAACACACTGCGTCTGCCGATCGTAGCTCAAACAACAAGCCACACAATGGTAGGTAGCATCACACACACACACACACACACACACACTCGCTCAGCTACAGTGATTTCTGGCTATAGCAGCTGTGACTAAACATTGCCTTTGCCTTTGCCAGAAATTCGTAATCATTGCCGTTGCCTTCCTGGCCTGCGCCCTCGCCGATGTCTCGGAGCTGGGCCAGCCTGGCTATGACTACCAACAGCCTGCACCGGCGCCCGTCGAGTCCTACATTCCGCCCGCACCACCCGCACCGCCAGCGCCCGAATACATTCCACCCGCACCGCCAGCACCCCAGCCGGAGTACATCCCACCAGCACCAGTGGCCGCGCCCGCCGACGCCTACATTCCGCCAGCCGCCGACGAGCAGGTGCTCGAGGAGATCGAGCAGCCCGCCCAGGACGGCTACCGCTACAAGACCGTGCGCCGACGCGTCTTCCGCCACCGCAACTAAGTGGAGCTGACTGCGGGTCCGCTTCGAGGAGAGTCTCATTTGTTTTTTGTTGTTATCGCTGGACTCGAGTGGGTTGGACGCAAGCAGAAAGCAAATATATGTGGATGGAAAAGAGATTTAAACTGAACGAATTAACTGCACTTAGCCTGTGTGTTCTTTGATGCCCATCAAAGGATCTGCAACAGGATAAGCTAACTATAGGCTATGAAAGAAAGAATAGAAATCAATTTATAGAAATTAACTCGATTTGCCTTTGATTTATTTGGATCTCTGAGGAATACTAGCTTACTCTTAGCTCTAAGCCAGCGGCCGACTGTAATGTTGCTTTATTATACAATTGTGGTGCAGCAGGCGCAGGCCGTGAGTGAGTGTGTCCCAAACAGGATCTATGCCGCATTTGATGTCCACTAACTTCTGGTTCGCACTGTGCAAAGATTTTAGTGTCGGCTCCATAAACAACTCAATTTTCTATTCATGTGGGGGGCCGGCTCTCGTTCGCCCCGCCACCCGCTGAGTGGCTGGCATCGATAAGTCGCCGCAGCATCCACATCTCGCCCTCGCCCTCGCCCTCGCCCTCGCCCTGGTCGCAGTTGTCGTTTATAAAACGCTTAACATTCGTGACATATTTCGCATTTGGCTGTGCGTCGTGCACAGAAATTTATAGACTTTATCCATTAGGAAAACAATTACGACTGCAAACAATGGCCCTGTGCGAGGCGCTGCTCCGGCTTCAGCCACGGCTACTGCCACGGCTTCTGCTGCTGGCCAATGTCCAGTGTCCGATGGTGGGCCACGCGACTCCCTGGCCCGACCATATGTTGCAATTGCGATTGGGATGTGCGCCACTCCCGGACGCCATCTCAGCGTCCATCTACCCAGCATCTTCAGCTTGTACGTATATTTCTCTTCGAGGTTCATTGTCCTTGTCGGCGCGCAAGAAAAAATATATATTTTCTTATTATTTTGCCGCAGAATATGCGACTTCCCTGGACGAGCGTGGGGTCCCTGGCTTCTCGGTGGCCTCTGCTGCAACACAAATCCAATTACCTTCAAAATAATAAACTTATGTACATACCAAAAGCAAAAGCAGAAGCAAAAGCAAAATGCCAATGCTAAGCAACGGCATGAGCATGGGATAGCTTCCTCACACTTACCAACACACACACACACACACACACACACACACCACTCACACACCACTCACATTTGCTTTATCAACTGTTGATAGACTCCATGGGGAATTTTCGTATGTCACACGACGGCGACAAAGGCGCCAGAAGCTGGAGCTGGAGCAGAGGTCCTGGCAAATGAGGAGCAAAGGATGAAGGGGAGGGATCAACTGAGGGAACAAGTGTCTGCCGCAGTTTTGACGGGCATAAGACCCAGCATATAAGGATGTACGCTGTGAAGATGCCCCAAGATACTCTCTGCTGCCTTGCACCAGATGCTAAAGCATCAATTTTTTTATTTTGTATATCAAAGGCATTCAAAATTGCATAGAGTATAAAGAATTTGTGGCTTGATATGGATTCTTGGTTAACTAGACATAGGTTATTTGACTTAGCTCTGCTTCTTTATATAATGACTAATATACGCTATATGACTGCTTAAACATAACTCTGTTATAGCTAATAATGAGCTTGAAAATTTATGAAAGTTGTTTTTTCATTATTTCCTATGATATTTATCATTGACTTTATCATCCGCATGTCTAGAATCATTAGGTTTTCTTCATTGATGCATGATTATATAATATAAAAAATAATAAATATAATATAAATAAAGTTTGCATTATAAAATTATATAAATATATAAAATAAATATATCAAATTATGATAATATTTCAATTATTAGAGGTACGACTGAATTGTTTGATTAAAGAAATCAGTTTAGTTTTTGTACTCCAAATATGAAAAATATATTTTTATTTTTTATTATTTATATACATGGTGATTGGAATTAAAATAAAATTAAGACTAGCTGGCAAATTAATCGCTGGCATCTGGGGCCTTCTTCGGTTTAAAATTAAATTAATTCACAATTATTTCTACTATAGCCTTCCCCCATGTCTTTGACTCTATTATTAGTCTAAAAGTCGAGATCCAAAATCTCCTTTGCAGTCCGATTGAAGCCTGCTTTTGTTATCATACGCTCCTCATGTAGACACGAATTGATTAGCGCATTAATAACTTGGCTAACAAATCGTAGGTCTGCTCAGTGGGTGTCTGTGGCATCGAGTGGCCTCAGAGAAATCGTAGACCTTCCTGTTAGTCCTCCTGGCGGTCCATCGTCCATTGTCCATTGGCCATTGCTGTCAGCTTGTTTGCTGCTCATTATTCGGCTGGCAGTGAAAATGCAAGAGCGCAAAATAATTTCGCCACTTGCATGTCATCAGCATAAACTGAGTGCAAAATATGTGGCATCCATTGGCGACGTGGCGACCGAGCGCCAGAGCGCCAGGGCGAGGAGCTCGGCGTTGGCCAAAGGAAATTCGCTTTAGAGCAAAGTCAACAGCAATTGGCCAAATTACTTGTAAGGGTAGAGGCAGACAGAGAGACAGAGACGATTGAGGGAGACAGAGAGGGTGGGGGAGATATGCTGTGTGTGGGTGGATATGAACTGTGGCATGGCAGTCGCTCGCTCTTCCCCAGCCCAGGCAGCTCATGTCCTTTCGGGCTGGCGAGCAGTTTATTGAATTCACATATTTTCCCATTTTGCATTATGGCCTGGCCAACAAGTTGGCTCCTTTGTTTTTTAGCAAATTTTTGCCTCATGCTGTTTGATTTTGTAATCGAGGATTTGTTTGTTTTTTCTTGGGGTCCATGTTCTCTTCTTCCTCTTGTGGCATTGAATGGTTTAGCCATTCCATTTTTCCATTTTTCGCTTTTTGTTCTTTTTTTTGGTTTTTGTTTTTTGTTTTTTTCGAACAGCTCAAATTGGTCTGGTCGTCGAATTGACCTTTTTACTGCAGCAGCGATAGAGACGACGGCGCTCCGAATGCCGGTGACATGTGTTTGGCCTTGAGCGGTTTGTTTAGGGTTTTTGCGGTAAACATATTGGATGGGCCCGGCCACTGGGCATGGCAATGGGCTGTGGCATGCTAAGTGGAAGTAAACGGAGTTGAGTTCAGCTCAGTCGCATCTAGCTGATTGCCAAAACTTGCCAAGGGTCGACCTGTTGGATGGCTCAATATGCTTTCAATCGATTTTCGGCATACGTTTTGAAGCATGAGCAAGTGTTTTTGTGCCTTAAGTTTGAGTTAAGTACCCCGAAATCTTCTATTATAGAAGTAAAAGAACAACTATGAAATTTAAGAGCTCTGGGTATAGATTAAAGTATTGAATGATCTCTCAGGAAAATTTGTATGCATATTCCTACATACATTCCAATAAGAAAATCTTTCAGAAATTGCTTTTAAAGTTTTATTACATGACTTTTCATTCGAACAATTCTTTTTTCTTAACAACACAGTTTTCTGTCTTCGATCCGTCTTTATCACATTAGTCAACAAAATTCGTAGTTATTCCAGTTGCTGCCGCCGCTTAGTTGCGGTGACGGAAGACGCGACGGCGCACGGTCTTGTAGCGGTAGCCGTCCTGGGCGGGCTGCTCGATCTCCTCGATGATGGGCTGCTCGGCCTGGATGGGCGCGGGGGCTGCAGGGGGAATGTAGGTGTTGACGGGAGCTGGGGGTGGGGGAATGTAGGTGTTCTTGGGTGCTGGTGGCGGTGGTGGTGGTGGGGGTGGAATGTACGCCTTGGCCGGTGCAGCCGGGGGCGGGATGTAGGCCTTGGACGGAGCGGGAGGAGGAGGCGGAATGTAGGTGTTCTTTGGCGCCGGTGGCGGTGGTGGTGGCGGTGGGGGAATGTAGGCAGGTGCCGGTGCCGGTGCCGCTGGCTGCGGATAATCGTAGCCCTGCTGCGACAACTCCGAGACGTCCGCCAAGGCGCAGGCCAAGAAGGCAGCGGCTATGATCAGGAATTTCTAGAGAAATCAATAGATCTGTGATTATCGTCCTTTAATGATCCGTTCTGGGAATTTACCATATTGGCTTCGATTGGCTGATTGCTGTGCTTGCTGCTCGGATCACTCCTCGCTGTGTACTGATGAACTCTTGACTCGCCGTGGTTTTTATAGCCCATAGATAAAGCTCGGGTCAGCAGCAGCAGCAGCCGCCGCTGCAGCCGCAAATTAATTGCGTGATGCCACGCTATCTGCGTGCCCTCAAGTGCCACGAGCTCAGCTTGAGATGAGGCTGCGGCTGTGGCTGTGGCTGTGGCTGTGGCTGTGGCTGTGGCTGGGGCCAGCTCGAGGAAGCGGGACGGCCAATGCCAAGTGGTTGGACGGGTTTCGTACTCTGACACCTTCAGACAATGCACTGAGTGGGGTCAGCCTCTCGCACCTCTCGCAAGCTTCTTTAATTAGATCAAAACAAATTTTTCGACCATTTACATATGAATGTCGTTAGTTATTGTTTTTCTTTCGTTATCTTTGAGTGGGGTCTCTTTTTTCCCACTTTACGCTTTGGGGCTCTTCGATTTGATGTATGTTCGTGGGTCAGTCGCTCTATTAGCGATGTTTCTACTTCTTCATTTTCATTTTGCTCATAATATTTTTCTTGTTTCTTTTATTTATTTACTTCTTTTGGCATATTGCCTTTGTTATGGTTATTAATCGAATTATCTGCATAAAAAAGACAACATGAATTGGCCAGCAGCTGCTCAGGAAATATGTCGAGTATCTCTTCCTGTCCTAAGACGAATTGCTGAGGACGCCCAAAGCAATAGCATAAATCATAGATGAGGTATGCGAATAGTTAAATATAACAAATTACCGTTGCTAGAGAATACATAGCTAATCCAAAAAATTGTTTAAATATTCCTAATATTTAAAAAAAAAAAATAGATTTAAAATGAAAAATTTTAGCAAACATTTTCTAAATTTTTTTTTCTTAATTATAAAATATTATATCTACTATATAATGTATAGCGTATTGATTCTTCGTCTTTCGTATTGATTTTTAAAAGCTATTATTGTTTTTTGTCTATTTGATAATGGCTTTAGTTTTCAATGTTTCTTGCTGTATCTAAATTCGGAGTTCAGCTAGTTGCTCAGTTTTTTCATTCATCGCTCAATGGTGATTTATGTCCCACAAATGAACTTCTGGCCTATGGCATCATTTTAAGTTAATGCCAAAATTAATAACATCAATTGTTTTTTTCTTCTGCTCTTTCTGTTTGTCTCTCATCCCATTGCTTCCACATCTTCCAAGTCAGTTAGCTAATTGCCGAGAATCGCATTTGCCTAATTTATTTTCGCATCGAATGTCTGGCATATTAATCGGCGCTGGGCGCCCAGCTGTTAGCATAAAATGCCTATCAATTCGAATTTATTTCTTACATAATGAAAGTGTTAATATGCTGGCCACTATTCCCAAGCATAAATCTTCTCTTCTCCGCATAAGGAAATCGAATCGAATGTGAACAGCAGTCGAAGGCCGCGGAACTCGAGCTGCGCATGGAAGATAAGATTGAAGATAGAGGAGTTGATGGACTGCGACTAGATACAATAAAATATCAATTTGAAATGAGTATAAATACATTTCCTAGTCTAATTTAGGCTATTTTAAGACCAGTTGATAATATATAGTAGTGGTAGATATATATATGGATATATACGTCAGATCTGAGATCTTAGACTGGATTTTGATTAGGTTTCTTTGATATGTAAATGCTAAATATGTTTCCTGATCCATTCTAAGCCATCTTCACTTTAATCACATACTAAACTTAGATATACTCTAAAATAATTAATAGATTCGATTCCTATCAGTCAATAATATAAACTAATCCGCCTTCAAGTAATGCCCTGTAAATTTCTGAAGCAATTCCGTGTTATTGATTTCCTTTGATTTATTAATATATACAACTATTTTTTTTTCTTTAGCCACGTGTGTTTGGAAATTGAATACTCGTAAGTCGCGAATCTGAATTTATTTACATTTTGTTCTTGAATCTAAAATTAACTCAGAGAGCTGAACTTTGACAGAGAATTATTTCCGCATTTGTTGTTAAAAATGTTGTCATCATTTTTTAATCCTATCAAAACATCTGAACGAAATGAATACCAAGCCGACTCAAGATATAAAAGATGTTTCTCTTAATGATGACCAAAACGCAATACCATCGTGTGATGGCTACCATCCGCTGAATTAATTGAGTTGAAGCGAGCTGCGTCTTCATAGAGTTTGATGCTTCAGAGAAATGAAATAATTGTTTTTGTTTTTTTACAAACTTAATATTTTTTTTTTATTGAATCAACTTCTTGCCATCGCCCTAGACTTAGGACTTTCGATCACTGCTTAGAAGCGGCGACGGATGGTGCGGCGCACGGTCTTGTAGCGGTATCCCTCGGGAGAGATGGGCTCGATCTCCTCCAGAGAGGGCTGGGGAGCCACCGCTGATGCGGGCGCGGAGACGCGGATGGGAGCTTGAGCGGGAGCGGCAGGAGGGATGTACTGGTTGACCGGAGCAGGGGCTGGCAGAGAGATTGGAGCAACTGGTGCTGGGGCATCAGCTTGGATGGGAGCGGGAGCTGCGGGAGGGATGTACTGGTTGGTTGGGACCGGAGCAACGCTGATGGGAGCTGGAGCTGGAGCTGGGGCTGGGGCTGGCGACAAGTTGATTGGAGCTGGGGCGGGCAGGTTGACGGGTGCTGGTGCTGCAGGAGGAATGTAGGACTTCACGGGCAACGGAGCAGGCGCAATCCTGGCGGGCAAAGGAGCTGGCGCCACAGGAGCTGGGGCTGGTGCCACCGGGGCGTAGTTATAGCCCGACAGCTGCGACACATCAGCGTGGGCAACGGCCAACAGGGCGCAGGCGACAACAAGAAGTTTCTGCAAGCGAAAATCGAAAGGATTAATCCTAGAGTCCCGCTGCTCCAATCAACAGTAGCCACTGCTGCGTCCACCTACCATTTTGGAGTATGTTACTTGGAACGTTTCAGTTGCTAGTATATCTTGGACAGCCCGAGGCGGTAGTATTTATATGAAATTGTGCGCGGTTGCTGAATCCGCGCAGACAAACGCGATGAAGAATTGCTCAAATTATAGGCTCTTAATATGCCAGAAACCAGAATTTTATTGTCAACAGCTGGTTACACAAAGACTAATGGAGTGTAGAGTATCAAATCGGGCTGGCGGGGTCCAACGCTGGCCATTATCAGATATGTTAATCAGGAGCAGCTGAAACAATTTGCCGATTGTTTCAACTTGAGCGCTGAACACAATGCATCTGCCATATTTGGGGCAAAGATAAATGGTCGCTGATTTGATGGATCCATTTAACGACGTTTGAATTTGCCAAGTAAAACTATCTATATGCTTATAATGAGAGATGATATTTATATGAGTGAAGTAAGTATAAGTATATAATATTTTCGTTTCAATAAATTTAATATATAATAGTTATATTTGTCTATTATAAATACTTTTATCAAGTATTTTCCTATTGCCTAGCTAAAGTGTGTTTGTGTGTCGGTGCTGAACAATGTCGTGTGCTATTCTCAGTGTATTTATGTTTTTTTGCCATTGCTTGAGCTTAAATGTAATTTGCATAAAACATAAATGCTATTTTTTTTGTTGTTTGTTGTTATCAAAGCCAACTACCAACTGTGTGGAGCAGAGCTGCGCTTGGTTGAGTGGAGTTGAGCTAAGCTGATTTGATGGGCAAGCCGAAAAGTTGTTGTGATTAGTTTGCTTAATTAGCTGTGATAAGGCGGACCAGTGTCCATTGGACAAAAGAGCCAAGCGCAGTCTTGCCAAATTTGGCTCGCTAGCCAGTGAACGGCTCATTGCTGTCGATTGTTGTCGTTGTGGCTTTGTATGCGATAGATACAGATATAGATCGACGATGCACATATATATGAATCTGATATATGTATGTATATGTATAATGCGTATCTGAATATGCGTTTGCTTGCAGGTCAAAAGTTGAGCGTGTCGCCAGTGCGGCCGACGCCAATTTCTCGTCCCATGAAAAACAAATTATCAGCCAAATAGTTGAATATACATGTGTGTGTGTGTGTGTGTGTGTGGGAGTGAAGGACATGTCTGACGCGCTCTTTTAATTACACAAATTGCCAATGAGCCACTTTGCGGATTGTCAACGCTTTAGTTATGCCAAAAAGCTTTTGAGACATTTGGGCGTCGCTGCCTTTATTGTTGTTGCTGTTGGTTTTATTGTAGTTCTTGTTGTTATTGTTATTGCCAGAGTTTCGACTGCTGTGTCGCCATTGTGATTCGAATATATTTGCAGCTTGTGTCAAACAAAAACTACAAAAGCTATGCAAACAAGCACTTAACCCGCTTTTATTTTGACAATTCCATTATTTTCGCAGCACCAATAAACTGAAACTGCGAAATTTTTTCAACACACACACGCACACACACACACACGCATTTAACCATACACTCACACACTTACAGCTAGCTGAGATCATGTCATGCAACATTGCGTATACGTAATTTAGTTTTTTGTCTGTTAATAGCTGAAGCTGCAACGCACGCTGCACTGCAATATATATACATATATATGTATATGAAAATTGACGGACCACAACTATTTGAGCGGGGATTGGAAATGTTCAGCAGAAGAAAACAAAAGCAACATTTGCTGGCATATTCTATGCGCTTTAAAGAATAACAAAGCAATATTGGGGAAATTACAAATTGAGCTGAAAGCTTCAAATAATATTGCAATCGCACGCAGAAGGCACTGAGAATGTGGAATCAACAAGATGCTGACATTTGTTGCATTTACTGCACTGTTGTCTTCTTCTTCTGCTTCTATAATCCGATTAGCACATTTCAGCTTCAGAGCAATTCGAAACAATCTTTTGTGGGCAACAACTTAAGATACTTTCAATGGCAATACTATTTGAGCTTTGGTGCTGTCCATCGATTGGGAGTTACACGCAATTAAATCATTTTCGGTGCAAATTATCTGGCTTAAAAATGAAAACAATTTCAAGAAAATTAATACAAAAATTAATTTCAATAGTGTCTAAATATTAAGAAGTTAAATTTTTGTTTGTTAATTATTTATTATTTAATAAATTAATACAAAAATTTATTTTAATATTTAGACACTTTTAAGAAGTTAAATTTTTGTTTTTTATTTTTATAATATATATATAATTTATCAAAAAAAGTAAAAAATAAATAATTTTATATAAATAAATTATAATATAATATAATAAATACAATACAAAATACAATTAATTATTAAATTATTTTTCTTCCCATTCAATAATTCTATTAATTTTTTTGCGGTCACAAGTAAAATACCTTGGCCTCACCTTTGGGCCACACCTCAAAGCTACAGCTAAGAAATGTCGTCCTAGACTGATGCAATTGCGGTGGCTATGCAATAAGAAGAGCACATTGCCGCTGAGATGCAAGTGAGCCGTATATGTTCATTGCATTATGCCTATGTGGCTTTACGGAGTGCAGATTTGGGGGATCGCTGCCAAGTCCAACTACAAAAGATTACAAGTACTGCAAAATAGAGTACTTCGTCAGCTAACTAACTATCCCAGGTATGTACGCGGATCAACATACTGTCGAAGAGCAGATTGGCCGGCATACAAGCAGGTACAGTGATAGACTGCAAAGGCACCGTAACC